TTTTTTTTTTCCCCCCCCCCCCCCCCCCCCCCCCCCCCAAAAAAAAAAAAAAAAGCCTTTTGTCATTGGCCTGTTTTTTTTCATTGATAGTGTAAACTAACTTTTTAATTTTAGTCTTATCTCTGTATGCAAGTAACTCTCTTCTTCCTTAGGTAAATTTGAACCACCATTATTCCACCCAAATGTGTATCCTTCAGGCACAGTGTGTCTCTCCATCTTAGAGGAGGATAAGGATTGGAGGCCAGCAATCACAATTAAACAGGTTATTAATTATACTTGGACATAAGCACTTTCCTTTGTTTTGCCTGCTTGTGTTACCTGAATCTAAAATGTTCAGTGTATGTTTCTGTAATTGGCTTCTAAGAGGGTGGGGGTTTTTAATTGTACGTTTCTTAGTAATATCTATGCCTACATTACTCGCTTCCTATTCCTTCTTAAATAGATCTTGTTAGGAATACAAGAACTTCTAAATGAACCAAATATTCAAGACCCAGCTCAAGCAGAGGCTTACACAATTTACTGGTGAGTATCTTTACGTATCAGCTTGAAAGCTGTCATATTACCTACAACTATATATAACTGACAGTATAATATGGGGATGTTCTTAAGAACGGTTAAGGTTTCTTACCTTCATGGCTGTGACCTGTGGAGATGCCTAGCTTATGCTAAGCTTAAGCCAAAGAGTAACTTTGAAGTTAATAGGCTAATGGTGCTTTTAATAATGTGACAACAGCAATAAATTACAGAACCTTTCTTAGTTGGACCATGATTCTTGTATTGTTCCGTCTTGGGACAGAATCACTTCCCTTAAAGGCTAAGTGAGGGACAGTGATGAGGTGTAATGATCTTGTGCAACTAGTGATTAGAAGAATGGGACTGGATTAGGTGATAAGTCCCATTCATCAGTACAGGAATAAGTCACTTCTATCTGGTAGTGGGTATCTATGAGCATTTGTGCCTGAAGGGTAAAGTGTAGCTTGTGAGATTACTGTAGTGAGTGTAGGGCATTTTATGAAAATTAGATCTTCAAAAAGAATAGGCTAACAAGTATGGAAAACTTGTAACTTTAGCAGAATGAACATTGTAGCGGTTATGAAAGGTGATAGTGTTTAAGCTGAAAAAATACCCCTCCCCCCCTCAATCCTAACATTGTCCCATAATCAAAAATGGGCAGCTGATCTATAGCCTGTATGGGGGCAAAACACATTAAACAAATGCTTTTGGCTCTGTTGGCTGCTAAAATAATGACCAAGATCAAAACGTAAGATTACTGTTCCAGACAGAAGAACAAGTCTCCAGGAGACTGCCAGGTTAGAAAATGACATTTTATGAGACTTCATCTTTGACATACCTTGCATGTGTCTATATTGCAGGACCCTAGTGAAAAGGAAAGTTAGGGCCAAGTAGTATGTCTTGGATTTAAAGACTTCACTCAGTGTTACTCTTTAAGAATAAATTCACATAATTTACTGAAGATTGGATGGGACTTTGTGCAGATGAAGAACACACAGAAGGCCACGACTGTAGGTAGTGCCTTCAGGAGCAGGTAGTGATGAGGCAGGCCACTTCTAAAAATTAAGCTAGTCTGAGGGAATGAGGGGAGAGGAACAACATGCTTTTAATAAAACAGATATATAGTCTGTGTGTCTTTTATTTCTACACAAACACACACACGTGTGTGTATGTGTGTGTATATATATGTATGAAAACAATTTCTTGTTCTTGTTTCTGCCTTATTGCAGAGACTGAAAAGACAGGATCTTGGTTTGTACCTTGATAACTGGTTAGTACTAATGAATTTACTGCTTGAAGTGTGCAGTCGTTAATAAAAAAAAAAAAAAAAGCAAACAGTTTCTATGACTATAAGCTTAACACTGTCTTTATTTGGTGGGGGGGGGAAGGAGAGGGGTGCTGGAAAGGTGTTGCACAAGCTGCTTCTGTATTGTGCTAAGGCTTTCCGGATGCATTAGTCAAGCACTGGGCTTCTGTGCCTGTTTCAATACAATCGATTCCCCCAAAACAAGATCTGCACCTCCTGAAATATGTGATAAAGTTTTTTTTTTTTTTTTTCCTCCCCTTCCCCCCCTTTAAAATGTTGCTTTCAAGTGTTAAAATATGTTAATTCTATATTCTTTCAATGTGTCTTTTGGACATGCATAGTTTTTCAACTAGGTTATTGTATTTCTGCAGCCTGACGGTATAAGTCACACTTTTACTACTTAACGAGTAACTGTTAGAAGCTCAACAGAGCGGGATTATGTATGCATCTGTAATTTGGCATAGTTAATAAATATGGGGGAAGAGGCAGTGCTGTGTAACTAGATGCCTTTTAGACGGGTTGTTAAACTTCCTTTTCAAAGATAAATTTTACATACAAAATAAGGATACTTACACTACTTCTCAGTCTCACAACCGCTTTGGTATGCGGTTACTGTTGCTCTGTTAACTTTAGCACTCTTAATGTGCTAACCTATTCGAGACTCCTATCATAGGCTCCTATAGGACTCCTATCCTATTCTTTTGCTTGGGTTCTGAGGGCGCGAGACTTAATCAGCTGGGATGAGTTCTTGTGTGGCAGTGCAGTATAACCTAAAGAAAAGTTTTTAGAAGAAAGTTTTTAAGTTCAGTTATATGAGAAGAAACTAGAGTATTTTCAGTCTACTTGCTGATAATTGCTCATCTGACATGTCCAGAATTGGCTTCATGTCTTCCTCAAAACCATCAACTACTGATGATATAATTTGCTGCCTTTTTTTTTTCCCCCTGCACAAGCCTTTAAAGCTGAAAGTGAGTTGGCTCACTCAGGCTCTCTGTGAAATCTAGTCACTTTGTTTTAGCCACGGTGTAAAGAACCTTACACACAAGAGTGAAGGTGATATATTTGTTTAGTAAGAACTTGCCGTTTTCTCTGTTCATTCTGTGAGCCTTAATGACTGGTTATAGTTCCTCGGAGTAATACTTGCTTATTTAATCAATCTTCATCATGTATGCTAGCTGCTGTGAACTATAGTGCCTTTTTTAATGTGGAACACTTTATTTTACAACTAAAGGTTAAGATACAAATCTCAAACTGAGGCAGGGTCTGCAGAGATAAAGAGTGAAGCTGCCATCATCTTTTCCCCTTTCTTAGAGTGCTTCCCCTCTCCCCTCAAAGCAGTAAAGATGACACTTTAAAATCATATGAATTCTACTAACTGTTATGTGAACTGGTCTCATTATACACTTTGTGTTATTAGGATACTGGAATTCAGGTCTCAGCATGAAGAGGGGAAAATTCTTAGCTTTGAGTGAGTAAGATGCTTGTATGTAAGGCACAGCTGGCTCTGAGAAAGGACAGGCATAAACTTACCCATTACATGTTGGTATGGCATGTGGTCAGATAGTACAATCATTCAACAGAAGATGAAGTAACTAGTTAAATGGAACCTAACTTCCCTCCAAAGGAAGTTGGCAGAGTAATGGTCCTGATAGGTCTTGAATACACTGTAGTATTGTGATTTTTTTGGTGCGTTGTGAAGATTTCAGAAGAGACTCCTCTATCTAATGTGTTTTGCCTCCAGCAATGGCTTAGTTTCATATTGAAGGGAAATAAAAGAAAAACAGCTGTGCAATTTGGCCTCTGATTTCTCAAGCTTTAATTGCCTTTTATTTCTTTTCTATTCAGCCAAAACAGAGTGGAATATGAAAAGAGGGTTCGAGCACAAGCCAAGAAGTTTGCGCCATCATAAGCATCTGTCATGCAGCATCTTAAAAAGGAAGGGATTGGTTTGGCAAGAACTTGTTTACAAAACTTTTGCAAAATCTAATGTTGCTATGTACAATTAATATCCACTTAGGGGAGGGGGTTGTATGTGTGCCATTTTCCATATTCGCCACTTGTATACAGTTCTAAATTTGCTGAATTGCCCCCAGTTTTTTCATACAGGGTCTCTTCCTTCAGTCTTTTGTATTTTTGATTGTTATGTAAAACTTGCTTTTATTTTAATATTGATGTCAGTATTTCAACTGCTGTAAAATTATAAACTTTTATACTTCTATAAATTCACTAGTATCTCTAGTTACTTTGCTATCTGATGCAGGCATGCTTTAAAATGTTTAGAACTATATTTAGCCTCTAGCTGGCTGTATGAAAAAAATCATGCCCTCCACCCCCTTCCCTCCCTGAATTTGTTTTTCTATCTTTCAGAAACTAGGTTGTTATTGCTTAAGAGCCTCTGAGATCCAAAGTCAGCCAGCATCTTTATTCTGCATCACTTCCTTTGTGTTTATATGGCGTTCTGTCTGTGTTGCTGTTTAGAGTAAATAAACTGTTTATATAAAGGGTTTTGTTTCATTATCTTCATTAAAATTATTAAAAGGCTGCCATTTAAACAGTTCTGAACAGAATTCAGTTAAAGTCCTGTTTTTAAGGCCTTTGCTGCTACACTTCTGTTTGTTTAGAAGTTTCCCTCATTTCTCTCTCCTACCCCCTCCTTGCCTCCAACACAGATGTGGTCCTTTGGGCTTAAGTCATGATTATGCATAGCTTTGGGCCTGAGTCATGATTATTCATCTACTTAAACAGCTCATCGAATTCTGTGACTAGAGACGAATTGCTTACTGTGCATAATGGATCAACATACTGGTATGACCACTTTAGCATAAAATAACACAAGCGTAGACTGACATTAACTATAGTACTAACTGTCCAAGGAATGCAAGATGACCTACAGCATCTGGAGATTTTAAATGATATTTGTTTCTCCGAAATACTTCTGTGCCTTCTTCCAAATGTCGTGTATGTAGTCTTTAGGAAAAGGACATACTCTATGCAACTACAGCTTCCTTCTGTAAAGGAAATCGGTTAAATTATGTAAGTTATTTTCCATGTATGTCAAGCTGATATACCCTCTATTAAACTTGCACTGCTTTTTTACTGTATTTTTCTAGTTCAAATAATTTTGCAAAACATGCAATGATAAAAGCTTCATTCCATCTGAGCTGTAGCTTCTTCAGTGCTTTTGTTATTAGAAGAGTTACTGCTGCAGACTTATCTTAAGAATGCTACAGCTTTGCTTTCAGACTTGCTATATTTGTCTGCATTTGATTATGATAGCATTATAACATGAAAGTAGTCTCTCAAATGAGAATAACTAGCACGCTCACATTCTCATTCCTTTAAGAACTGTGTGTAGAACTGCTTCTGAAAGGCTAATTCTGAAAAGACTTCAAATTCTTGGGGTGGGAGGGTGAATAACTGAGGAACAGGGTTAAAGGAAAGATTCCCTGTCAAATCCATTGAATCAGACTTCTTTTTTTTTTTTCTTTTTAAAGGGAAATGGAATATTTGTACCACTACAATTGCTGGTGCGACTCCCAAGTGTTCCAGCAGAGCTAGAATTTAATCTCCTATGTAGACTAGAAAGAAGGTTAAGAGGTGAAAAACTTGCTGTGACTTGAAGAACTTAGCAGTCTTGTGGGTATACGAAGGTAACAAATCATGAATTGTTGTCCTCTGTACCTCCAATTGTACTGAAGGGTTGCTGAAGATCAGGTTTAGGTTTTAAACCTGATCTTCAAAGGTTAGGTTCCAGTTGGGTCCTGGAAACTCAAAACAGCATTCTACTTAAGTGCACAGAAACCTTAAAACAATGGCCAATGGCTATACTTTTATTACACGAACTGGCAAGTATATGGAAAAGTGAACTAAGATACCGGTGCCAACTTATAAAAAGCCTTACTCCTGCTTAAGGGCAAGATTATGTGTATTTGTGATTTGGTAGAATGCCGTTTCAAAATACTGAGAACATAGGCAGATGGTATCGCTGAACTTGCTGTCTGAAATTCTGCGATATAACTCCAAATATAAAATGCTAAAACTTTGTATGTTGCTGAGGACCCTCTAACTGTAGCTAAGTAAATCAAAAATCAGCATATAATCTTACTGAAAAGACAATGAGGTTTTAAATCGATTTCAGGAAGTTTCCCCCCTGCCCCCCCCCCCCCCTTTTTAAGCTTACGTGTTTGGTTTACTGTAAAATGAGTGATGTAGCTGAAATGCATATAGCAGCTTCAAGCCTGTACAGAAGTCAGAGACTCCTTATGTGCTCTAATTTGGGTAATGACCTAAAATTAGAGCTGTTTGCCAACTTGAAATATTCCCCAGATATCAGAAAAGCGTAGTCTATAATGTACTACTATGTAAAAATACTTCCTATAAATCACTTTCCGGAAACTTTTTGTTTCTTTACTAATGTAACTAAGCTTCAGGATCCTTACAGAATAACAATGAGTATTCCATAAAGAACTGTCCAAAAGAGGAAGCTAAATAACCTTAAAACCTTGACATGCATAAGTAGATCTATAAACCTCCATGGGACCCCATTGAGAATAGAGGTTCATCTGGAAAGAGGTAGTTAAGCATCCAATTATAGGTGGGCATCCCCCATATTAGTAACTGTTCACCAGAAAGTTTCTTACACAAGATTTTACAACTTTGTTCACAAACTATTTTATTTTTCAAATAGTTGATGTATTGGTTCTTGGTGCCGCAACTTCCCAGTATCATCTTCCTCTGGACTGTTCTCATCACTGGTCTCACTGCCATCATCTGGACTGCTTACACTGTCCTCAGATTCTTCATTGCTTTGTGCTATTCTGGAAACATTTTTCAGGATTATAGAAGCAAGGTAACTTTTAAGAAAAAAAATAGTATGTAAGTTAAATTTCATTACCCTGGAGCATTGACTGGTCTATTAGGATTAGAAAATTCTTTTCCTGAGTCAACATCAAATGGATCTGGAAGGAAAGAAAGGAGGGGGGAGGGAAGCACATTCCTGAAGCAGTCTGCTTTTATTTTCATTTTAACAGAATGTTATTGCCAGGGAGGGGAAGATGTGGACAACAAGTCTGGTTCAGCTTTCTAATGAACCTACTGTACTTGTTTGGCCAAGAGGTCAGAAACCAGGAATTGAAAAAAAACCTAAGTTCTGTTCCCTGTTCTCATCTTTTCACTCTCTTCTCCCCGCCCCATCCCCCCAAAAAGGGGGGGCTCAGTAACTCTTTGGGGACAGCCAGACTGCCCGCATAGTTTGCTAAAGCTTTGGGTAAGACAACATGCATATTTTCAAAACCAGATGGTTGTCTAATCTGTTTACCAATAGCCAAATCTCCAAAGTGAAGGAGCGCAGCTGTGCAGGTTGAGTACTTCCTGAGGAGCGAGAATAATGCTAGATTTAGCTTTGCTTACATAACTGGAGAACAGCAACATGTTACCCCAGAAAACTCAAAATGAGGCGTGATAGTTATGATACTACACACCATACAGAAAACACAGGAGTGTGGGTGGAACTGTGCCTTAACTGGCATAGTAGGGTTGTCCCTTAAGGTCTGTTTTCAGTTTAATGTAACAGCAGTTCAGCTTCCACTACAAGGCTACAAGAACATACACTTCAAAGACAGGACAATTTTATTCAGCCTAACACGTCACAGCTGAGAGAGCAAAGGCAAAAGACACTAGAGGCTGTCTGCCATCTCCTTAGTGTGTGGGAGTCCCCTGTTCTATTTTTATGGGACTTAGCCACTATGGAAGAAAGGAACTGGTTAGGAGTATCTGTCTTCGTATGCTCTTGATCGTTTGGCTTTTTTGCATTGTCTTGAATGAGACCAAGCACTCGTTTGTGAATACAACTTGAAATACTGGGATAACATAAGTTATACAAAGAATCTGGGAATAAGCTATCCTGTACTGAAATTTAAGGTATTTTCATTATCCTCACAGGTCTGCTTTTAAAAGCATCTTGGTTAGGGACTGTATAAACTTGTCTGTTAAGGATTTATCTAGGTTTATATATGACTGATTTACTGTCAGACTGCACGCCTGTATTTCTGTTACGGTTCTCTTGTATTGCTAGTCATCTCGTTCATAGTCTGCCTTTAATATTTGTAGATACGGTGGGGAAGTCATATATTTTCTTTTTACTCCTCATTCTCTAATAACATCCTTAATTAGGGTAGCTGCTCCACAGTTCAGCTAAATAAATTAATACCCTAATACAGGCATTAAATTGCTTTAGTCTTTTTCACCTTTTTGGATTAAAAAAACAAAGACAAACTTACTTATAGCTAGAAAAGACAGTATAGAGACAGAAAAAACACATCTCAACAAAGCTTTTATTTTTTATCTTCTACCTTGCCAATATTTCATGAGATCAAAGGAAAAAAAAGTGTAAGGAAACTACATGGAACACTAGGTAAGAAAAGGAGATGTGTGTATGTTTCTTACCTATTTCTTCTTCCTTTGTTTCTTGGACACTGGCTAAAAAATCCCTTTCGATTCTCAGTACTTCTTCTTGGCAATGGCAGGCTGCATACTTTTCCAAAAGAATTTTGTTCAAATCAATAAAGCTCTTCCCCCATTTAAATTTCCTTAGAAGAATGGTGGCTAGGTCTGGGAATCCTAAAACAGAAAAGAAATTATCAATTTTTTTTTTTCAATGTGAGATTTGGCTTGGCTTACAGATTTCTGTTTTTAATGTTTGCCAGCATTTCTCAGTGTTCAGGGATTCAGATTTTTTAAAAGATTAAAGGGTTTTTTTTAATTTCACTTTAACTTGAAATATCTAACTCAATCCAAGAAAAGTTCACAGTCTTTTAGCCTTATATGGAAATATTAAAATATTTTGTAAACGTGATTCAAGCTGTAGCTCCTACGTCCTTCTGTAAGACAGCATGTGTACATACCATATTATCAGAAAGATCTGTCAGCAGTATAGCAGAGAATGTCTGTTTAGTTGTCAAGAAAGCTCTGTCGCGAGCTTGTAAAACATCATGAGGAGGGGGTGATCTTTTTTTAAATGTTCTCAACCAGAACCCACCATGTTAACGGATAGCTGTTACCTCCCATGAAGACAAAGATGTCTAAGGATTAACACTGGTTTGTTTTTTTTTTTGAGATTTACTAACATCCAGTGCTGTCCTGACAACAGTAGGATCACCAGTTCATATGTCCTGTGTAGTAGCTGAGGTGAACTCCATCCCAGAGGTATCTCAATGGCTATTAAATACAAGCAATTGGAAGAGAACTAGATAATCTTATTCCAAACACAAGACCAAAGTGATGACCAATGGGACAGCATTACACTTTATTCTATCAAAAATCATCCATTCTGATTTATTAAGGATATGAGAATCACTGGTAACACATTTCATATCAGATCTGTTAGAGCCTACCAACAATGCAAAAAGTAGCAGCAAAAGCTTCCACGCAGGACAGCTTGCATGGCCGGCCATAGTTTACAGGATTTGCAGCCACCAAGTAAGGTAACAGCCGTAGATGACTTCCTCTCATTCTCTTAAAGGGAGTTTCTTCCAATTTGGCCCATGAGCAATCTATGACTGCGATTCCGCTCTGAGCAACAATATGTCTGAAAAAATAAATATCCTGTATTTAAAAAACTTTGTGTTGTATTGATAAATTAAAGTGAGATTTACATATGCCAATTTATAGTGACAACAAACGTGCATACAACCCCCTCTTTGTCTATCAAAGAGCAAACATTTTATAACAACCTAAAATTCAGATGTAACAGGAAAGAATAACATGCTTCTCCTCAGAATCTGCACAGGGCAAGAAAGTCTTTTCCATATGTTTCAAACTGAAAATACAGAATTTTAGGATTAAAAATTTGCGAGGGGAAGGCGATTAGAAATAATGTTCCCATTCTTAAGGCAACAAAGATCAAAGTTCAGATTTAGATTCTCCACTAGCTTCTAAGATAATCTCTGAATATATACATCTTTATACAATTTTGCAAGTACATTTGAAGAAAACTCATTAAGTTTCCCCAAAATAAGTTTTAATTTGCATGTGCAATCATAAAAAATGGAGTATGTATAGGCTGCTGCGATTCCGAGCGTGTTAACCTACAGACTGCATAGTGTCGTCATGTGGGAGCTATAGATCCATCTATTGATACCAGCTGTTTAAAAGTTTTGATCTTATTTAACAAAAAGACTCAATTTCTCACGCTTATGCGTCAGCAGTAACATGACAAACGCATTGCATAGCACAACCTTGGCCGTGAAGGAGCGCTGAAAGCGCTCTCCCTGCTGCCTCGAGGGGCTGCGAGCAGCGCGGGGGCGCTG